CATTTGAGCAATCTGCCGCAGGTCACCTCTTCTGAGTGGTGAATTCCACAGATTCCACGTCTCGTACTACCCCATAGGTTGGAATGAAGCCCAAAGAAGGGGGGCGCCCCTCATCAAGAGATTCCTCCAAAAAGCTTTTTGTCAGCCTCCACATTAACTAACCGGTGTGTTTGGTTGTGTGTGTTTGTGGTAAACAAAACAAACACAAAAACAAGCTAAAACAGCTCAACCCCATATTAATCTCAGTGTAGCCGTGGATCTCGAAGCTCAGCTCACGCCTCCAGGCCCACGGGAGCTTGATTGCTCCCCCTGGCCGGGAGTCCAAGAGTCTGCCGAGAGGCAAAGATACCTTCCACGTGTATACGGCAAGCATATCTGTACAGATCGCGTATACATATATATATGTGTGTGTGTGTGTGTGTTTGCATATGTGTAAATTGATATACATGTGCATGTGCACGTACTGTGTTTCAGTAATTAGCATTCATGAATTCCCAGACCCGACAAATTCCAGACTCTGGGATTACGTTTCGGCTTTGATCCTCACTTGCCGTTTTTTGGCTCGAACCCTGGGACGTCTTTGGCCCTTTCTGCCATTCTGCCTTGCCGGGGAAGGGGTAGGATTGCACGTCCTCATTTTTGGCTAACAATAGCTTCTAACATCTTCTAACTGACATGGCATGCTTGAACCACCATTGCTCAAACTGAGACCGGGTCTCAAAAATCGGGGCAATGGAGAAACACAACAGTTGGAAATCCCCTTTGCTCTAGAAATGCCCACTACATACAGCGTTGGACGAATTAGCACCCAGAGGCCTTTGATTGGAAAGCTTTCACATACATACATACATACATATATATATATATGTACACACAGTTTTCCGAGTCGTCAAGTCTCGATTGTTTCATCAGCACTGAATTTATGCAGTATGCCCAGTGGCACACGCGGCGGGAACCATCAAGAGATAGCAAGGGGAAGCGGCAAAGTAGCTTTCCTTTCTCGCCAGCGGCACTTTGACTCAAGTTTGTTCACTCTATCCCAGTTGCCCAGTGGTGCCCTCTTTTCCTTTTTTTTGGGGGGGAAGGGTTCCCCTTTAAAGTCAACCAACAAAAAGGATGCCCTTTTTTCCCATTGCCACTGGGCATCTTGGCTATGGTTGCACCAGGCCCTCAAAGCTAGTCTTTTGTGGTCCGAAGCACTGGGTCGCCTGCAAGCACTTGTTTCAGGCATGCAGTTCAGGGCAGTCACGAGGCCATGCTCCTTTTAGGCGGAAAACATCTTTGTCTCCCAGGACCAGGGAGAGGGCAACGAACCATATTTGCAGGATATCGTTTTTCCGTGAGGTTGGGTATCGGTTTTTGGTCCAGTGACCTGATGGCGATATTATCGGACATCCATGTGAGGGTTGTCCAAAAAGCGAATGGTTTTGTTGACTGGTTGACTCTTTTGTTGCCTCCGGCCCCCTGAAACGCCACAGTCAGATCGATTTCAGGGCACGGGTTGCTGACGCATCGCTGGCGCTTAGGCCCACCTCCTATTCAAAACCTGGGCGGTGCAGAGCTCGGCCTGAAGGGGGTTGAACTGAGTTTGCCGGAAATGAATGAGTCATGTGCCGAGTGCATGACTGCGGAAAACTGTGTGTGTTTTTGTTTGTGCGTGTGTGTGTGTGGCTATTTATATATTTGTGTATTTGTTTATGTATTTATTTATTTTTCCGCCACTTTCTGTGAGCGGTCAAGGGAGTTCCTTCAGAGACAAATTGTGTCATAGGTGTTGCCCACGTTTATCACCAAAAGGCGTCAGAGCCATTGACATGTGACTCTGTGACCCTGGAAGGCAGGCAGTACGGACGGCATGGGGTGGTGAGCTCGTTTGGCAACGGAAACTTGGAGGGTCAGACAGCTTCACGTTGCTAGCGCCTCCAACAGTGGAGGCCCACAGTGGTGCAAACTCACAACAACTTGACGTTGGATATCCATGTCTGCTTCAGTATTGCACTACATAGAGTCATAGTGCGTTTAGTGTCCAGCCAGGGACAAGAGTGTGTATTAGCACGGGACGAATGTGCACCCCATCCATCATCGTGGCCTTATCTGAAAATCTAGCAGCATTAAAAAAGATGTCTTGCATTTATGTTGTCCCAGCTTAGGTATCTAGCCACTGCCCAGCTTTGAGGTCTCCTACGGGCTTCCACTCTCCCTTCCGACGTTCCGCTATGGTGTCCAGTCCATCAGAACCGTCATGGGCTATCGAGTTCGTCCTGACCTCGGTCTGCCAACGCTGAGGCCCCCGCCTCCATCGACCCAGCGCCACTCTCAGGACTTGGACAAGAAAAGTATACCTTGCCATGGTCAAACCACCGGGGGTTTTGTTTGCTTTAAGGCAAAACCGAGGTGTTTGTTTTGTTTGAAAGGGAACCCAAAAGAAACACGGTGGGGGCATCTGGGGATCCTTTGGTTTCCCTTTGATCAAAGCATCCCTTTTACTCGGGGTTGGTAGGAGCAGTCACGAGCCAATTGAAACGGGGTTTAGGAAACTATTGTGAGGGAGCGCGAACCATAGCGCACGCGAGGACTTTGATCATTTTGTGTGTCCCAAGATAGGGAACCAACGCAGATGCGGCCGGAAACAAGCGAATTGTTGGATTGTGCTTAAAGGGATGCAGAAAGACAATATTAACACCCCTCTTGAGGTGCTCCCTCGTGGCTCGCTTTGAACGAGGGAGCTTTGAACGTTGACATCAGGACTATTGCTTCTCCTGATGCACATATACGATAATATGTTATATATGTTATATATATATACATATGCGTCATATTTATATGTTCTTGGTTCTTGTTCTTTTTTTGTCGCACCAGGTACTTTGTACTCCATATGCACTATGTATACAAGCTTTGGCGCACCAGCGGAACACGTCGGCGAGTCGCGCGCACTGGGTACTGCCAGGCTGTTGGGATAGGCCTACGCGCGGCTAGTTGACGCATGGGTGTCTTCGCTGAATTCACGAACTGTGTTTTGCAATCCCAACATTGTGCTTCTTCTATTTGGAAACCCATCTTCCAGCCCAACAACTGTTTTTTGTTGTCGTTCTTGTTTGAATCCTCATCATGGCAGCGAGCGCCCTCTCAGCGTGGTTTGGTGCACAAGGGGCTCCCGGTTACCGTGCACTTTCCAATCGGCATTGACAAACGTATAGCTTCGGGCTTATTTTGACCCGCTCGCCCTATGTCAAAACAAGGGGCGGATCTGGGACGGCTCAAATCGGACACCCGGAAGGAGACTTGCCCTTTTGCAGGGTCCAAGTCACTTTGACACGGCATGGCCAAGAAAGGCCATAGCCGAGGCCGCCCGCACCACCTGGAAGGGCAAGGACTCCCAGCCCTATGCGTAAGCGGGATTGGCCGCGCCCGGCATGTGATCGAAAGGGCAGGTCTCTCGCTTTTTCCAAGCTGTATACGAGGAGCGCCATCCATTTTCTTCCGTCTTTTTCATTCTGTGGCATCCGCCAGTCTCACTGTTGGCTATTTCTTGTCTGGGGCTCCACCTCCACGGGTAGACCACCGCGCTTACTGTCTAAGATGCTTTGGGGAGCGGAGGATATGTGGAGGAAATGGGGGCCTCGGATTTGCCTGGAGATAGGTGGCCTTGGATTGTGGGGAAACCCAAAAGCATATTGGGGGGTCCCTGAAAAAATGACGCCCAAATGTGTGATTTCCCTGGAGATAGGCGAGCCTTGCAAAACTTTTGGCAGGGGGTGCGAAGCACTGGGGCGGCTAGCCGAAGTCGGAATGCGGCCAGGGCGGACAAAGCTTTGGGCGATGGCATTACAAGTTTGCGGCAGGAAGTGCGGAGCTCAGCTGTGAGGGAAGAAGTTTGGGCGCAAAATGTCTTTCAACATGCATAGCAATAGCTGCCCTCGGTGTTTTCTGTAGACCTGTTAGCGGCAGCGGGCTCTCCGAATGTAAAACACGTCTGGAAAGGCAGCATGTCTGCTGGCGGAAGTTGTGTAAGATACAGCTTCAGGAGCCCCAGTTGGTTTTTTTCCGCTCAGTCCAGGTATGTATTGTGTATTCGAGCAAGCTTCGAGGAAATGGCGATTCGTGGCCGGTGCAAGGTCACGTGAGTCTATTGTGTATTTGTGGAGGACGTGTGGGGGGACTGTCCAATCTCCCTCATCAGACTAGCCAAATGAACTGCTAAGTAAACTATGTCACTGCTCACCCGATGCACCATTGCACTTGACAGGCAACGCGTTACTCTAAAGCCGACCTTGTTGTTTTCGGTGCAGCTTTCGATCATCTCTTAGATGTTGGGCAGGCGATGCAAATCTGTGGGTGGTTCTTGTCGTGCCACGCTCCAAACTTTGAGACCTTTCAGGGTTGGGCCGCGGTTTCGCTCACGGAGGCTGGCGTATCTCTGGCTCTTCAGTACTTGTTCAGCAAAACCTTGCCTGAGGAACCGTTGACATGGGTCCCTGCCCGTCCCCCGGCGTTTGCGCAAATGCGGGACAGGGGAACCAGCAACGATCTTGGCGTGGGCGCCGTCTCATCTGTTTTGAGTGGTTTTGAGGCATGGGATTTGGTTAAGGCCTGAGACCAAGCAACCAAATCTTATTCAGCCGTGCACACCAGTTCCCAGAAGCGACTCTGAATTGATCGGCCTTGGAGTGCTTCGGGTCCTCTTCCCTAGATCTATCAAATACTGGACATACTTGCACTTTTGTCCAGGGGACTTTGGAAGCAACGGAAAACTAAAAAGAAACCAGCAACTTGAGTTCCTATATATTCTGAGACAAACCCCATCTCAGAACCCGCCATTTGCAAAGAGATTTTGCCGGGTAAAGGACCAGATGGAAGAAGCGGTGAGCATTTTGGGTTGGTCTTAAGTTGGTTGGCAAGGGTTTGCCCCTGGAGATGCAACTACCCTCCCAACAAGCGTGGTTTGTTCCGCAGCACCAAACCTTTTGTGCAGTTTCTCGCCATCCTCTTGACCAAGCTGGATGCATTGCCGGGCTTTTTCGGGATGCCTCCGTTTTCCGCGGCTCCAGCCCTCCGAATCCGCGGCCGCCGGATGCGTGGACTCGGCGAGCGGCTTCGATGCGGCTTCGATGCGCTGGCTGGTCGCTTGGGCCCCTGCCGCCTGGGCGGTGCCCGCATGGTGGGGCGAGCCTTCCGGCAGGCGGGACACGAGCGGTCAGGCGATCACCCCTCTGTTGCCCAGTGGCGCCCTCTGTCTCTTTTTTTGTTGGGGGAAGGGGTCCTCTTTATAAACTCAACCAAAAAAGGATGCCATGGATGCCCCTTTTTGTTTCTCATGGCCACTGGGCATTTGAGAACCCCTATTTGGTGGCTGGGTTGGTGGTTTGGACCGGGAACACAGAAGCCCCATTTGGGTTCGAATGCGGTTCAAATCCCCCAACCAATCCAGAGGGAAGCTAATAGGAAGCTTCTGTTTGGTGTTCGGGTCCGGGTGTGTGTTTTGTTAAAGGGGTGTTACCTTCCCCCCCAAAAGAATCGGTCTTGTTAATTTCCCCTTTCAACCAACGCAAAAAGGGGGTGCCCTCAAAACAAGACACACCCATCCAAGAAGGAAAGAGCCAAAGGTCTGGGGCAGTTGAGGTTGTAACAATGGTAAGGCAAGCCCTCTCACTTACAACCATGGCAATCAGCTTCTTGCGTGGGCTGAACATCGGGGGGTGTTTTCCTTTGATTGTTGGTTGTTGTTGAAGATGTTAGTGACTGTTAGTGGGAGCCAGGGCGCCCGCTCATCGAAATGTATTAGTTTCCTCGGAGCAATGTTGGAAGAGATGAAGCACATGATCCTCGCATCAGCTGATTGGTTCGCTGGGGCAGCTCCCAGTATTCCCCTCCGCACTTAGCAGGACTGAACGAGGCTTGTTTGCACGACGCGATTGGCAACGTCGCAAGTAGAGGTGGCAGCTTTTGCGACATGGACGCTCGTTGCAAACGAGTCACACTAGCGTTTAAACTTCCAGCACTTGCCGCTCCGGCGTGTTGGGGAATCCTAAAAAAGTGAGCGAAGCAGCGCTAAAAAATGATCAGCAAGCTTGAGCAAGGTCTGCGCCCGAGCCTCTGGCACCTTGCTTACTTCCAGAAACCTGGGAATGAATGCTGAGTGGCCTAAAGTTGGCTGGGACGTTCGGTGTTTAGTTGGTTTAGTGGTTGAGCTTCCATTTCACCCACCAAAAGTCAGTCACTTTTGGCAGGGAATGAGGACAGCCCATCAAATGATCGGCGGCCGTCCCCCGCCAGCCTTCGGGTCCCGTCCATTCGCGTCGCGCGTCGCGAGGTATGGCTACGAGATGGCCCAGGCCTTAAGGCGAAGGGAGTCGAGATGAAACACACGCGACCGCCAGGGCTCAATCGGCCGCCGTAGATGAAAATTTGCGTTTGAGGTTCTGTTGGCTTTAAAGGACATCTATCACCACTGGAAGTTCGTGTTTATTGTCCTTTTGGTGTTAGAGGGATTCTAGCACTGCTGGAAATATGTGTGTTTCTTTCCAGGGGACTTAAGCAAACAAAGGGCCGCCGTCTTGGCAACTCCAGCTGTGGCCCGTAGTTGTTGGCCTATTTGCAATAGTCAAGTCCAGCAACCTTTAGCATTGCGTTGGCGAGATGGTTAATGCCTACTAGCACAATGTGCGCATATACGTGCAATATACAACTATATACATATTTATATATTTATATCTCAATACATGTGTTCACAGACATATGATAAGTATATGTGTGTTGGTTAGCATGTTAGCAGCCCGAGGCGCACACACGAAATAGACAAGCCACATCATGTCCATTCCCCAAAACATGTGGAAGCTCACAAAGGGTGTTGAAAGACTTTCATTCTCTTGAGCAGGCCCCTGTCCACATCCACGATTGTAAAGAGGGTAGCCTTCCGGCTGGCCGTAGCCAACTGGCATTTGAGGCTCAACACCTTTTGCCGATGGCAGGAGACTGGCTCTGGGGATGATTTGGTTGTCTTTGCTTGAGGAAGCCGGGGGGGTTGGCTTTCAAAGGGAACCAACCCCTCCCCACCCCATTTTGAGACTCTGGGGCGCCCTGACATCCTTTGGGGCTGGCTCATTCGCAGGCGGGGCTTTGCAGTTCTAGACCTCGGCGCTGAATCCGCGACCTGGATATGGCTTTGAAAAGCCCCGAACAACAAAGCAGAGATGGTGACCTTCAATCAACACGTTGTTTTGTGGGACGTTGCGAAGGAACCTGCCTGTCCCAGGGAGGGTAATGTGAAGGTCGCACGCGCGGGCTAAGAACCATAATACCCTCTTGTGGATGCACCCAAAAACATATGCTAGCTGTGACTTCAGGTATGATAGCTTCCTGTCAAACTATAGCAGCTGTGGCCAAGTTTCAGTCCTCGACTATGATCGCGCTTTGTCTGGACGGGCTGATGCCAAGTGACGCTCTCGTCCATGAACGTGTTTTTGCAGACGGTGACAAAAGGAACGGCAATGATGCTGACCGCACCTGGCGTTGGTCGGAAGGGGTGCGGGTTCCAATACAATCCTTTGAGAACAAGCCGAATCGCGGTTCGAATGATGGATTCAGTCAACCCGTGTGGCTCCAGCCTTCCCGGAGATCAGGCAGCCATCGAGGTGTTTGCCCAGCAGAACAGCTCGAGCGAGTGCGCCGAAGGTCCGCAGGCCGGATCTCAGGAACCTGGCTGATCCCCTCGTCCCCTCCAAACGCAGCCTTTGAAAAGCCCCCCCCTTGGCAAGCTGGTTTGGTCTTCGGTGTGCCAATCCATGCAGTCTTGGTAGTCCATTCCGGCTGAGGCGGGCTGTGGATTCCAACCTCGGTATTTCGGATTTCGGATGTGGTTCTCCAGCGATGTCGGGACGTGTTGGGGCGAAATCCTTTTGTGGCTTGGTTTTGCAGTATTACCCTCCCACCTATTCGCGTGGAACCTGACAGGAGGTCACTGGAAGACCATTTTCCATTTAAACGGACCCTCCAGTGGATTCCATGTTTCTTGGTGGGCGGGTATTGTGTTTTGTCTCAGGGAGGCTTCTTATGCTACCTTTTTCATAGATTTGTTCTTTCCACCCCATGCTTGCCCTGAACCACCCTCAGGCCGTATCAAAGGCTTTGGGGAAACCAGCGGAAAGGTGGCTAGCGGTAACAGGCATAAATGTGGTTTGAAAGGTCATTTGGTTGAACATTGATTGGTTGAAGCCATTCACCAGCGGAAGTTATTTAAGAGGACTATGGTTGGGATCCCATTTGCAATGCGGATGTTGCCCATTCTTCCCGAGGGCAGTGCCTGATCGCGACTTCTTTGGAAGCCAGTGGGTAGTTGACCCCTTCCCAACAAAGCATCGAACGGACTCTTCTTGGACTTGCGTGTAGACGGTAGGAGCACCTCAACGTCCTGGACACGAAATCCCAGCACTGGAGCCCACCCCCCTGCTACGAACAAGACGACTCCGACTCCGACTCTGGGGGTCCGTTGCGGCTCATGGCTCAGTTGCAGCAGGAGGGGGGGGGGAGGTGACTGGGTGCCCAGCTCGGCTTTCCTTCAGCCCTTCAGCCCTTCATCCTCGGGATTCGTGGGCCCGGTGGTGAGGTGAGCTGACCTTTGTTTCCCCACACCATGGTTCCCATGTGAGCTAATGGCAGTAGTTTCAGATAACATATTTCCGAGCGGAAACATGTATTTGCCTGCTTAGGTGCAAAACGAAGTATGAAGACCCAACACAAGGTAGGGCCATGACTCAATGAAATAAAGGTGGTTGAGATCACGAAGACACGCCACGTTGGACAAGGCGAATGAGTCCAAAAATGAGCGAATGAGGTGGGAACACCCGAACATGCAACCATGTAGCAAAATAACAGCCGTAGCTCATGTGCAGGAGAAGTGCCAGCTTGTCAACATGGATCTTTAACCTCCCTTTTCCCTTTGGTGCCGTTTTGAATGGAAAGCTTTGAATCATTCCCAAATGCCTGTTTGGAGTGAAGGAACCTCCACCACCATGCCGTGTTGCGAATCAGTCAAGGCCGCCTTTGTGTAGTACAGAAGTGGAACAACAAATTGCACAGCCTTATTTCACTATACAGGAATATGGGCGCTAGACCCATTTGTCCAAATCACAACCATAGCTTGGGACCGTGGGATGATCCTGCCATTTGGTAGCCATGGACTTCCAGTGAGGAGTACGCAAAGGGCTCGCTTTGTTCTATTCCTTTGAGGGACCTGCCGGACACAGATGGTGAAACCTGAGTGCCCGGAAAAGAGCATAGTTCCGAAAGGCGAGCCCATGGTCCGTGCTTTTCCTTTCACTTGGAGTCTTGGAGGTTTGTTTTTTTGATGTCGCACCTCGGCTTTACGAAGCACCGTCCTGGTTTTTCAGAATTTAGAGGGATGCTTCCAACCCAAGACTCATGCGGGGCAGGCTGGACTGTCATACCTTGTGTGGTTTGACTAGTTATCCTCGGGGGTTGTAACCGTCTTGTTTTGAGGCCCCCTCTTTTTGGAGGTTACAAGAGAAACCAAATTGGACACCGAATTCCACTTTGTGCTTCCCTACATTTGGAGAAGCTCACATCAATGCAACGCCCAAAGCTCCTATTGGCCAGTAGATGGGTCTTCTTGGGTAAACAAGGGTTATAGTTATAGCAAGGCCGTTGTATGTGTATGTATATATTTACATTAGACTAAGTCGCATTGACCGTTTGTTCTACTAAGATACTTATATAAAGGTTTACATGAATATATACATATATATGTACATATACATAATATGTATAAACCTTCAACCATTTTAGTAGAAGCAACTGTCAATGGGTTTCGGCCGCTGGACCCAACGAACATAAACCGCGAGGTCGCTCGCTGGGCTGTTCGCGCGGCGGCTTCTCACGATGGCTCGCCAGTGCAAGGGCGATGGCTGGAGCGAGCACTGGAGGAGATGAATAGCACCCCGGCTCTGACTCCGGAGGGTCCAGTTGATATCTAAGGATGCACAGGGTCTGTCTGTCTTTGATGGCATGGCACTACCCTTTTTGTTGGTGGTTTTATAGGAAAATCAGAAGGAAAACCACCACTGTGGGGGGTCAGGTGGGGTCAAAGTACATCCTTTTACTTGGTCCCTCAGGGGTCAAGCAGGCGAACAAGTCCACAACTTCCCAGCCTGTTTTTGAAAGTCATTTCTGGCTGTCTTCATGAAACATCCGTTCCTCTTTTCGGTTTGGAGCGGCCTTTTGGGCACCCCCGCCCCATCGTCACAATCCGAGGCCGGAGGGAGCTGTTGAGGGCCTTCGCCTACCGGGGCCTTGGCAGCGAGGCAGTGGCCGCGGAGCCGCTGAACCCTCGGGTGCCCTCCAAGGCCCTGCCGTTTCGGGCCGTTTCGGCCCGGCTCGAGCTGGTCCTTTGATCAGCTGTTCTGGGCATTTGCTGCGGCGTTTTTTGTTTTAGGATTTGGACCCCCCAAAAAAATGGCGACGGTGTCCTTTTGCTTACGTTGAACACCAACCAAATAACGCTAAATGTTCACCTCATATTTAGAAACGCCCCCCACCCCTCCACCCCCCTAAGGTCGTACTGAGGGGGGCCTGTAATTAGAAGCTTCCGGCGGATCCCGGAGATTCCTTACCTGGCTGTTGGTCGGCGCCTTCGTTCAATCGCAGGGCCTGGCAGGTTTGGCGCCGGTGAGGGCACACAGGAGTTGCTGCCTTGCCTGTTTCGCTTTCAGTCACGCACTAGGAGCTGAGCCTTTTTTTTGGATTTCCTGGGCCAAGCCGAATTGTGCAATTACGGGGGGGTTTCTAAATACGTTCTGGGATTTGGATTGTGCAAATTAAATACGAGGGGGGTTCTAAATATGAGGTCAACATTACCACCCCCAAAAAGTACACCCATATGGCTGTTGGTCAAAACATAGCCCCAAAATGGCTTGCCCGAAATGGAAATGACGTAAATTCCTGCGGTCCATATCCTGCTTCTGGTTGAGTTTTGACCCAGCTTAGGAGAGCCCTTAGGTAATTGGCTGGCGGCCTGTGCAGTGCAATGCCACGGGGCTGAAGTTGTTGGTGTGCAAAGATGTGGGTTCGTCCGAACCAAGAATTCACTCCCTGAGTTCATGGACTTAGTGACCGTGGGGGTTTCGACCATTTTAGTGGTAATACTGCCAGGGGACTTTTCCTGGCCCATCCAGAAGCAGAGTGCACACTGGCTGTTTGAACACATGTTTGAGGCAGCGCTGTAACCAACAAACCAGGGGAGGATGTTGCTGTCTCGTAGGCCTGAGGTGTGGACATGTGCAGATCGCGTTTCATCCGGCATGAAGTTCGGTCAACATATTCAGTGTGGCCCGGGGGGAGGGACCCAGGGACATACGCACTCATGTTCTCGGGTGCTTAGAGGTACACATATGTCGTCCGTGTTTCAAGCTTGTGTGCGCATCATCATAACCCCGGCACCTTGGTTTTCTTGTTTGCTGCCATGCATGTGATTGTTTGTTGTCGTAATAAGGCTTTTTCGAGCCACTGTACAGCAAATGTTCTGAGCAAGCTTCCAACAGGAATGGTGACAGTGTGCTGTAGAGTGTTTAATAGAGGTTGAAGTCTCACGTAATTTTTCGGTCCACAATGTGGGCACACCCTCTGGTTTGCAGCATTGGAGCAAGAGAGAAACTCAGCATTTAACAAGCCATTTGGATGCGCTGTGGCTCAGGACACTGCACCAGATTCATGCATGGAACACCAGCAAGCCCCGCAACATGTGGGCACTTGGAATGCAAAAGAAATCTTCTGCCAACCAAACATGGGCTGCAGAGGGCTCTGAGGCTGATCCTGCCCGGCAGAAACCTCATATGCCTTAAGCATTGGTCGCGCACTCATGTTGCCATGGCGACCACCCTGCGCCATCAGATCGAAGAAAACTATTCGGAGAATGCGGACCTCATAGATGAAGATCATTCAGGAGACCTGGATGTCGGGGAGGTCGAGACGCTTCTTGCTGCCATGGGCATTACTGGTGTCCAGTCTCAGTGGGTTCTGCAAGCCTCCCTTAGGGGGGTGAGCAAAACGAGCCACCAAAGAGTGACAGACGCCATCCTGCTCCATGCAGATATTGATGAGACCAAGCTTCAGATCATGCTGGGCCGAGTGGCCTTGTTCGGAAAAGTATTCCGATGGCTGGATATCGATGGAGATGGTCAGCTGAGCCTGCCCGAGATTATGAGGACCCAGCGGGCGAGCTGGTATGACCAAAAGCAAACCAAACGGATTTTGTACGGATTGACTGAGTGTAGCTTGCTTTTATTGCTTCGCCGTGAACATGAACAATGTGTTGCCCTGACATGGGTGCTTCTTAAAATGGTCGTTTTGCACTTGCTTCCTTGCTCAACCTCATGCACAAGGGGAGATGCCAGCTTGAGTTCACCGCGATTTGTTTTGACAATTTGTGGTTTCCGGTCCAAAGTTGATCCATTGTTTGGTGGGTTCCCATGAAACTGGGGCTGTGTGAACGAGAGGGTATGGATCCGCCTTCTCTTGGTGGTTCCCAGCCATTCCCTTAGGTTTTAGCTTGTTTAGTTGGTTCGGTGGTTGGGTTTCCAGTCAACCCACTACCAGTTAGTCACTGTTAGAGCCAGGATCAGGACTGTCCTTTCAGTGTTTGACGTGCTTCCTCTTTCAAGTCATGGACCCAAGTGTCTTCCAAAAGCGGAGAGTCACCTTCAATGGTTATGAGGGCAATTTCCGCAGCTCAGCATAGACCAGGACTCGCTGTTGGGTTCCCATGAAACTAACGCCTTTTCCAGAGATCCAAAAGGGAAGTCAAACGATTCCTCTGAGGCATTACTGGATCAACATGTCGTATCATCCGATATGTTCGCTCTTTGCTAAGATTGTCTCGATGCTATGTATGGTTAGACCCTTCTAGGTATACCCAGCGGATGATTCCTGGCAAGCTGCAGGTAACTAGCGCCATTTTCCTTTTGGTTTTCATCCAGGGCAGTTCCCTTGGTTACCTTCTCTTGGAACCACTAGCTGGCACATGGTTGCAACCATGGACTTCCTGGTTGCCTTCTCTTGGAATCACATGGTTTCAACCATTGACAGCCAGAGGATGATGGGATTGCCTTGGCAAGCCCATGGTGGTAAAGCAATGCACTTTTTCCAAGGTCGCAAACAGATTGGGAGCAGAGACCCCCGCGCTAGTTTCTTTTCAGCCGGAGGATGGAACTGAACAGCTTGTCAATGGAACATGATGTCAATCTCATCCTTTCATTGGTTTCAGCGTGTTTCAACCATTGACAGGATGATGGAACTGCTGAACATCGACCTGAAGCTGGCGGCGGATTTGATGGCCTTCCTGGACCTGGACGACTCGGGGGACGTGAACTGGCAAGAGTTCGTGCGGGGCGTCTGCAGCGATCAGTTCGCGGTGCTCTTCCCGCGCCTCGACCAGTCGAGTCGAGGCGTTTTGAAGGAGGCGTTGTACGGCACAAGACGAGTGGGGTCCATTTAGGGGTGATTTTTTGTTTGGGTGGACCCTTTAAATGGGGGTTTCCTTGTGGTTTCCCTTTAAAACTACCAAAAACAAGGTACCCTCAAAAAGACGCGCCAATTTGATTGTCTTTAAAGGGTCGCGTATTTGGAGAGAAATCCAACTGCGCAAACGCGCATTTGCGTCGAACCCAGTGGGTTGCAGAGGCCTCGCTGTGCGAACATGTTCGGAAAAAGAACCGCTTCAAAGGTGGGATTATTTTACGCTGGTGCCCAACATGGAGCATATTCTGGCATTTTGTTTGTTAATCTTTGGCACAAGGTTAATCCAAACAGACCCAGTTTTTATTCCAACACTTGCTCCCCAAAATTCGCCGGTGCGCATTGGCTATTCTGTTTTGGCTATTCGGTTGCCGGGGCCTGTTTTTCCTACGTTTGCCAGGGCCCCGGAAAGCGACTTTCGCCAAAATCAGCGGTGGACCAAGCCGCCTGGACCAGGCTCTTGCACACCCTTCCACATGTACATGGCTCTAGCCCACGGATTTTTTAACATGCCACAAAGGGTACCCTCCCACTTGACATGGAACCTGCCAATTGCTGGCTTGGACCATGTTCCTTTTGCAGGGACCGGGTCCTGAAGGTCAGGTTCCATGTTTGGTGGGAGGGTACGTACCACTCATTCGCAGCAATCTGGATGGGAGGGCCACGGCCATTCTCTTGTCTCAGGTCTGAGCGGGGATTCTGGTTCTAAGGGAACCCCTTAAACAGAGCTGCGGGACTTCATCAGCAGTTAGCTTCTCACACACATCGTGGGGGGGGGCTCACTGATTTTCCATCAATTTGTCCATGTCCATTGTGTTTTTTGAGGGTACTCCTGGGTTGCCGCTATTTGACACATGCCCAAATCAGGGGTTGCCAATACCCTGTTTGGGTGCCATTTGCTTTCACTTTTCTGAGACGAAAATCGAAAAGGGACAGACCACCTGCTTGCACCCATTATCCCTTTTTAGTGGGTGGGTTATGTATACGCACCAGCTCAGCAAACATCCAACTGCCTCGTTAAATCCTTTGCCCATCCCATGGTTAAATCCAAGGTGCCTGAATGAGTACTTCTCACTGACCACTTACCAACTTGCTGGTGCGATAAGTAGGGAATGACGGGGACCGGATATGTGAAGCTCACCACTTGGGCATGGGTCAAGATTAAACCACCAGGGGACCGCAGGTCTTAGTCCTTGTTTCCATTTGCCAGGGTTCCATTTTGGGTACCTTCTTTTGACCCACTTCGCTCGCCAACCAGCCGACCACAAGTGGAGTCCGCCCCTCGCGCCGCGCGCGAGAAGCGCGCGCGAGTGAGGCAGATCACCTTGGAAGCGCTGGTGGAGCTGCCCTCCAGCCTGCGCCGCAACAAGCTGGTCAGCAGCTGGGACCTGGCTTGGGGCTTTTTGACCCAAACTGGCAGTCCCGGTGTTCACCCCATTTTTGTGGAGTCCCTGTTTCCTGGCTTTTGTCTCTTTGTTTTTGTATTTTTGTTTGGTATGCCTTTTTTTAGGGGATGTTTTTGGTGCCCTTTGAAGCTGTTGCCTTTTTTTCCTTTGGGGGGGGTTGGGGGGAACAGCTTGAAAGCAAGCCCCTAAAGTTGGTGTTGTGTGTTTGTTAGTTTCATTTAACAGATGTTCGTCTTATGTGTTACAGTATGTTGATACAGCAACGCTTAAACTTAACAGAGTAAGTTAATCAAGGGGAACACAACTGACTGTTTTGGGATGATCTCACATACTTGGATTCTCAAAATGGGCCCTTTTTAGTCTGCATACCCCCCAAAGGGGCACTCTTACCATAGGGCCATTTGATGTTAAACCGATCCTAGTTCGCCCCCGAAGCATCCGCAACACCCAAATCCATTGCACGACCCCCAATCACTCTCGAGCCTGTGGGGGTGTCTTGTTTGAGGGTTCCCCCGATTTGGGTGTTTTTTCAAGGATCTTTTTTGAGGGTTCCCCATGTTTAGCTGTTTCGTTTTGAAGGAAAACACAGGGGAATGGGCGCGTCTTGTCTGAGGGTTCCCCTACTTAGGTGTTGTTTAAAGGGAAACTCAAGGGAAAAAGACATATATCTTTTTCAAGGAAAACACAGGGGACACCCACCACTTTCGGGGCGTCTCCCAAAAAAAGGGCGACGAGGCAACCTGAGCGGCGCGCGTCAGGCAAAGAGGAGGAGCGCCAGGCCATCCGCGAGCTGCCCGCGGCGCCTTGGGCCGATTCGGATGGGGACAGAGACTGGGGGTTGGGGGGACCCAGGGAAAACGCCAAAGTTTTCATAGGCTTTCGGCTTTCAGATTTCATGTGGAAAAGCTACCCATATCATTTTGTTTGAGGAATATTGATCAAGCCCCATGTCTCAACACCAAACGGAACTGTTCAAAAGTCAGGACATTTCAAAGGAGTCTGTTTTACGAGGGCGTTCTGCACACTCGGCTTAGGCGGAGAAGGCACAACATCAAACCTGAAGAGTTGATGTTTCATGCTCAATCCGCTCAATCCTTAATCCTCATGCAAAATGAATTATCTTGTGGATTTGGTATCCCACTGCAGATTAACGGAGTTGGGAAGAGGGAATTTTGAACATCCTACCTGGGCCTGGTGGCAATCCTAGCTCACCCTATTGGCTCAACGTACTGTGGGTTCCCTGAACTGTTCAGGAAAGCTTGGCAAATTTAGTGGATGTGCAGCTTGGGAAAATTCCCAGTCCCAGTAGTGCATAGTCGATTTGGGAGGGACTTGGGGATCCGTGCAATTTGCTACAAACACCAAGGGACTTTCTACACGGGTGGAAGTAGAGCGCACAGTTCGCTTTCTGTGGTAAGCAAAGTGCCTAAGCCAACCAGGGAATCGCGCCATTTGCTTTCACCCGGCTATAGTTTTCCCATGTCGCCTGGTGGGAGGCACAATGGAGGGCTCCAGGACCCACAGAAACTCAGGGACGACAGCTGACACCGTGAGTTTGGATGGCTGTGAGTGGCCCAGGTGGAGAAGACCTTGTACTGGGTGCTCTCCCTCATGTACGGCACCTCCTCTGGAGGATCTGACAAGCAAGAGGACGTTGGGCTCCTTTCCAACAGGAAATTCGGCGGTGAACTTCCAACATGTTTGGTGGCTAGTGTTTCGGCCAACCCCCTATTTAAACCATGTCAGCCACGCTTTGTTTCAACACCAACCTTTGGGTTCCCCGAAATTTCGGGTGCCGTTGGCGGGCGTGATTGCTTCAGCCGCAACAGGACGACTTAGCGGTGGAGAGCTGTGAGATCCCGGTGCTGCATCCCAGCAAGGACGCCATCAAGGCTCGATGCGGTTGGTGGCGCTGGAGCTTCCGTGGTCGATTTTCAAGGGCAACCCACAAGAACTTACACCGATAGGGGAGTGTTCTGCCAGAGAGGGGTGCCAACAGGGCTGGTCAGTCTTGCCGAAAAGAGCCATCGCTTTCCTCTTCTTTTGGGGCCGGTTTTCAAAAGCAAACTCACGAGGACTTTGGCTAGGGCTCAAAGCAGCAAAGAATCAAAGGGCACTTCAACCAAGATGCCCAGTGGCCATGGGGAAAAAAGGGCATCCGTTTTGGTTGGTTGACTGTAAAGGGGAACCCTTCCCAAAAGCAAGTTGCAAAAAGGAAGCAACCCACTGGGCAACTGGGTCAATAGGGCGGTGACACCGTGCAGCCCTTTGACTTGGCCACAACCTCATTTTGGCGGAAAGCGTAACTGTCGACAAAAGTTGACATCGGGGCACCCAAACGATGTGATTTCGGTTTGGGTTCCAATAGAAACCAAGCCTAAAGAGGGTACTCTCACAAAACAGCCAGCTGGCATGCAACACGAACAAGCCCTATGATTGCAGTTAGGCACCCACAATTTGCTCGGTATTCAAGTAGTCACCACTTCCTCGCTCCGCAGCTGTGGGCTGTTCCTCTTCCATGCCGAGCGGGTTTGTAAAGGAACATGCTCTTGCTGAGCATTGCTTTGAACAGCATTTGCGATAAAGTTCGAATTGCGTGTCGGCAGCGATGCAGAGAGCATTCGCCGGAAACTTGCATTCTGCTTTCAGCCAGGTGGGTCTGTCTCCAAATTGAGATGAACCATAGTCACCACAAATTCCCAGAGTATCCATCTTTCCGGTCAGGCGAAGGAGGAGAGGCTGGCCTTGGAGGAGAACTTCAAGCCGGGCCCCATGCCACTGAGGACCGCATGATGCCGGGCCCAAGGTCGGAACTCCTGCGACGCCCGCAGAAACCGGAAAGTCGCAGGTTGGAAGCTTCCCACTGCAACTACCTTTGCAAGCAGCCTGTAAAGCTGCCTCTGAGCCTACCAGATTCCCCTTGCCGCTGTACATGTGTGTACAGTGGGCCCTGCCTGAATTGGCTTTTTCACCGCACAAAGCGGAGGTTGGACATGGGAAGAAGCAGGCAAGTTGGGGTGTGCTGGTATTTTGTTTGGATTTGTGGCGGACCACCTTTGGGCTTCATGGTGAATGGCAGTGCTTGGCCAATTTAAACCGGCTTGTAAGCTGTCTGACTTGGGTTTACTGGGTTCAAATCCCAGATAGAACCAATGCATTGACGTCCCCGTTAGTTGGGGTGGGGTCTTGTATGAGAGGAGCCTTTTGGGCATCAAAAGAACAAAGTCTGAGGAAATTCGGCCAGTCATAAGCTCCTTTGAACCAAACGAACTCGATGAACTTCCGTGGCAGAATCCTCCGCGAGGACGCTTGCAGCCTCGGCCGCCGCTTCCGCGCACAGTGGCCCGGCGCCCTTTGCCGTGGCGGACATCCCGTCCTTGGCGCCTCAAGCGAAAATCCAACGGGCGGAATACAGAAGCTTACTGACAGGTTTCTGCATGAGAAATGTTCCAACACTTAGCCGCAAGGCAGCTATTTAGATATGGTCCTTGGTTTGATGGTCCTTGCAGACTGGTTACTAGTCGCTTTGATGGGTAAGAGGGATCTGGTTTTCTTTTCATGATGAGGCGTCTTAATTTCGGTATGCTTCCTTGGCGTTCGCAAGGCAAACACAAAAGGGCAGCAATCATTGGAGGGACGCACTTTTTGCGATCGCCAAGTGTAAGCGACCAGTTGATTGACACTTGGGTGTTCGACCAACTTTAAGTAGCAACCCAAGTTTTATACCAGCTTAAGTCCTTTTGAACAGATTGTTATACTTAGTCCTGAAATGGCTAACTCCTTAACCTGGGTCCCAAACTACCCTCCTGCCCTCTAACATGGAACCTAATTGACTCAGGGCTCCTGATGTAAACCCTCTCCAAGTCAACTGAGGTGCAGACCATGAACCAGTGCAGGGCGCAGGTCATCACTCGCAAGGAGCCCAAAGGCTCCCACGAGACATTCGGCTGGCAACATGGTTGCCCCTATGGTTTCATTATGCTGAAACGAGTGTTGTACATAAACATGTTTGAAAAAAACAAACAAGTGGAAGCCCATGCACCAAAGGCACCAATCACATATTTCAATGCATCATCATTTTCATTTGTACTTTTTCATATATATATATATATATATACATATGATATGTGTATATGCGTGTATGTTAATTGTCATATGCACACCCATTTGCACCTCGTGGCGCCCAGTCGCCGAGGATCCAGCAGGCGGTTGTGCGCTGGTCCACGAAGCGGGCGGTGGTGGTGCGCAAAGAGGCACATGATTTGGGCAGGGAGGAAGTAGCTGGCAGACCCCGGATCCATAAACCCCAGTTCATGAATGTGGGGGAGTGTCCAAAAGTGGGCTAAATCCCCACTAAAACCCGGGACACCCCCTATATTAATAAGCAGGGGTGTATTCATCTGGGGTCAACCATTAGATGGCAGAACCTTCTCGTTCGGTTTTGTCATCCCCTTTACGCAAAGGAGGCTGCGCTATTTCTTTCGCCCAAGTTTAGCTTAAACACGACCAGTTAAGGGGTCGCTTTTTGGGATCCCTTGTTTGATTCCTATGTTTTCTAGGGGACACTTCAGCAGTTTGAGGGCATGGCGGAATTCCATATGCCCGTACCGTGCATAGTCCGACAGCCTCTCATATGACACTCATGTCGTTGACCCATGCTGGTCTCTCGTTGACCACCAGTGGTTCGATGGTCTGGATTGATTGGCATCCCGCATGGATCCGGCATTGGATCCAATCACGGGTGGGTTGGTCTTCCTTTGATACTGTAATTGGCTTCCTTCAGGTTTCACTTTTACGTTGGCAGCCCAAAGGCTTCCGTCAAAAGGCAACACGCTGACTTGGATGTTCAACTTATCTGTTTGATGTGTTCCACTTCGCCAACTCTTTCACTTCGCGGATTCGACTCAGGATTCTTGCGAACTATCCACTACGTAGCAATTGGGCCAACTATAATGAGCTCACCCACGGCGAAGCTCATTTGCTCCGTTTGTGGATTGCGGCAATTTCACGAAAGCTAGCTTTAGCTAGCTGAAGTTTCTCCTTGCGTAAGCAAGGTAAGGGGCTCAAATGCCGAAAGATTGATTTTTTCAATTATTTGAGCCGAAAAGATTGAAAAATATCAATTATTTAGACCCCCCCCCCCTCCGGTCTCAGGCTCGATTCCTCCCTGGTCCATCCCCCCCCCCCCAGTGGCTCAGGGTTCAGCAGTCTCGGTTTGCCCGTTTTGGACT